ATCTTCATGAGTTCAAATCTGGCCTCAGATATTTACTAGCTGTTTGACCCTGTACAAGTCACTTAACCCTGTTTGCCTCAGTTTTCTCATCTGTAAAATGAGCTGGAGAAATAAATGGCAAACCACTCCAGTTTCTTTGGCAAGAAAACCCCAAATGGGGTCAGGAAGAGTTGGACATAACTGAGAAACGATTCAACAAACATTTAGGAAACAGCATCAACATGATGCTTTGTCCTAAGCTTAGCAAGCTTTGTATGATTGTTGCCTCAGGGCGTTCAGGAGCTCAGCAATATGGGGTCAGTCTTCCTCAGGCCTGACAGCCAAGCCTACAAAGGTATGGACAAGAATCATTCAGAATAAGTGGACATTGGGGGACGGGAGGCAGCTGCAGCACACACAGATGCAGTGGAAGCAGTGTGGCCAACCCAAGAGGCTGTAGCAGAAGTGGCAGTGGAAGCCATGTCTCCAGCCCATAACTTGGGAGAAGTTCAAGAGCCAATCTATTTGAAGGCCTCTAAAGGGATTGCTTCACCAACATGGACACCAAGTTAGCTTGCCAAAACCTAAGATAGAAAGTAAAGAACTTTGTGCCATCACAGGTGTGGAACCCAAACCAATTTTGAAATGGGTTGAGACAAATGTGCTTCAGTAAGGAGTGCTAGAACTTTCAGTGGACAGAATTAGTTCACAGATGGTGGATCCAATTCTAAATCACATGTTTACATCATAGAGCATCCAATTTATGAATTCCTGCCCATGTCAAAGATAGAAGGTCCTATGCCAATCTCCCTTCCAGATCCTGAAAGTCTTGGTCTTCCTAATCCTCCTCAGTATTTTTTAATACCTGTGATGACAGCTGCTAAAAATTCCCCATAATTGACAGTGAAAAGGCATAATCCTCTTGACAAAGCTGCAGCCTCATAATTAACATCTTCAAAAATCTGAAAACCTCCAGATTTCATCCCTTAGTTAAAATAATATAACACACTAGGAGGGGAGAACTGCCTTTTGCCAATAGAGTGATAGTCATGGGACCTTTAGAATATTGTGAGAAAACCTATGAATTAATGAGCATGTCAAACAAACTCTCGTAGACTCAACTGAGAATGTCTGCCTTTTCTGTAAGTTTTAAATTTTATGATGGGATGGAATTAAAATATTCTTTTCAGTTTTCTCATTCAGTTGTTCAAATATGAAAAAGAAAGAAGTAAAAGGTTATAATATTATCAGGGGAAAAACTGCCCACAAGGATGAAATATTGGATGCACAAAAGAAAAGATAGATAGAGGACAGATAAATAACTAAATGACAGAGCAGTGATTAAGTGGTATTATGTGCCAATCAAGTACTGAGGATCTAAATACAAGAAAGCAATATAGTCCCTGCCTTCAATGAGTTTACATTATAATTGAGGAAGACAACCAAAGGGAAGCTGGAAACGGGGGTAGCAACAAGTGACAGAGAGATCTGGTTCCAGGAAAGATAAGACAAAAGCTAATTGATCAGATCCCAGTGTTCCAAGGAAAGAGTTTAAAGTTATTTGGGGCAGGGATGTTGAGCATGATGGCCAGAGTTAAGGCAGCATGCTATACAAGTGGTGGCTGGGAATGACATGTGTCAACAGAATTTTGAATACAGTCCAGATTGGACTGGTCTCTGACCTGGGAATGGCTGGAGCCAGCGGCAGGGGCGGCAGGAATCAAGCAGTAGTTTACTTAGTTTCAGAGTGAGGAAAACATTTGTAAGTGGAAATCCTCCTGAGCAAGAGGGCTTACCATGTTGGGGGACAGGCAGTGCTTATATACATACTGGGATAGAGTATGACATAATCATTTTGGGGTCTTGAGTTATAGTTCTCATGGGTCCTTTGGAAACAGTATTGTCCCAAGTTGTGGGGGTCATGATTACACAGACCCAGAGTTCTGTGATGGGAACGGGAGTACAGTACAAGGAACGGGGAGTGTGAGCATGTCAGAGTCATGTGGATGTTGACTCTCAGGGCCCTGGGAAATAGGGGGAATGAACACCTGGTGCAATACATTTTGCCAAAGGGCGAAATCATCCAGAGCATAAAGGATTGTTGTTGTGCCAAGCACAGGGCACAGCCTCCTTGCTGGGCCTTAACTCTGGGAAATGGTATTTCCAAAACATTTTGACACATGGATAGCAAACAGTATCCTTGCCATTCTTCTTAGGTATAAGCTCAAGACTTTTACAGGTGTCTGACAAAATTATCCTTCTCAGGAAAGCCAAGGATCTGACTCACTTGGAAATATGAGAATCATAGGATCACGAAACCTGAGAGTTAAAAGGGAGTTCAGTGGCCATGTAGTCCAACCCATATATGAAAAAGAACCCCTACTATAACATACCCATGGCCATCCAGCCTCTGCTGGAAGACCTCCAAAGAAGGGAAACCCACCATCACTCAAGGACAGTCATTCCACTTTCGGACAGCTCTAATTGGTCAGAAAATTTTCCTTACACCAAAAGCCTCAATGAGCCTCTTCCAAGTAGCTTCCATGCATTGTTCCTGGCTCTGCCTTCTGCAACCAAACTGAAGAAATCTAATCTTTCCTTCACTTGAGAGCTAGCATGTCCCCCTTATATCTTCTCTTCTTTAGGCTAAGCATCTATATTTCCTTCAACAAATTCCTTCAAAGATAATTGTGGACAATGAACAAGTTCATATTCTTTACTCTGTGTACCATGCAAGTCAGCCTATGTCAGGCACATCACTTTTTGTATCATTATTTAAAATGCTCAATGGCATGTTTTTTTTTTCGAGGAAAGCATTATGTAAACCTTAAAGTGCTGTATAAATGGGAGCTATTATTATTTCTTATGGAGAGAGGGACAGTGATGAGATGTCATTGGCTAGCGCTGAAAGATCATCCCTGAGCAAACAGGTTCAGCTAAATTGATGCTAAGGGGGAAAGTCCATTTCTTTATCAGTCAACTCAACAAGCATTTATTAATTAACTACTAAGTGCCAGGCACTGTGCCAAACTCTAGGGATACAAAGAAAAGCAAAAGGTGGTCTGCTTAAAGAGCTCACAGTCTAAGGGGAGATACAATACACAAAAACCAGACAAGGTATGTACAGCATAAATTGGAGACGGTCAATAGCAGTAAGGCACTAGCTGTAAGGGAATCAGAAATGGGATTCTTGTAGAAGTGGGATTTTAATTAGGGTTTGAAGGAAATTAGAAGAAGATGATGAGAGAATTACAGGCATGTGGGTCAGTCAGTGAAACTGCTTGGTATTAGGAGATGGAGTTTCTTGTTCAAAAACAGCAAAGAGGATAGGAGGGGGCAGAGATAAGATATGTTATGGAGGGAAAAAAATAACAGGATTCGGCAATATTTTTAACATGGTGGGGGTGAGAGTGAGGAGTACAGATTGGCACTTAGTTTGCAAGCCTGAGCTACTTAGAAGATGGTGGTGCCCTTGACAACAGTGGTCAGAGAGTTTCTTGGAACAGATGTGTTTTACACTGTACCATGAGGAAGGGGAGTGGGTGCCATGTTTAGCTAACTCATCTCTCTATATGTGACTACAAAATCTGTTATCTACAAACCTGATCTTTATTCTGAGTGTCAGATCATCATCCTTGAAAATGGCTACATGATATCTATACTTCGAATTCCCACAAGGACATCAAAGTCAACATGTCCAAATTTGAGTTTATTGTCTTTCCCCCCAACCCAGCTTTTTCTTCTGATTCTTTCATCTTATGTCAGCACTGCCACCCTTTCCCTATGTTGCAATCTATTCTAAAACTTTGTTACCTTTGACACTCCCCTCTCCCTTCCCTCTCATTTTCAATAAATCCTATTGATTCTACCCCTGTAACAATACTTCCATCTGTAGCCTCTTCCTGACCCAAAGCCTTCACTCTAATAAGTATCCTCAATCCCACCTACCTAGTCTATTGCAATAATATACTCTGGGTTCTTCCTGCTTAGTCTCTCCCATCTCCAGCAAAACTTCTACACTGTTGCTGGACTAGCCTCTGTTATACATAGCTATAAGCATAATATCCGTCTACTCAGAAATTCCAAGTGACTTCCGGTTGCCTTCAAAATAAAGTTTATATGGCTCTAACTGCATTATAGGCATTGTAAAATCTGAAACCACCTACTCTTCTAACTTAATGTCACTGTCCTTCATATACTCTAGGTATATCAAGTAAGTCTTGACTATTCAGCCTCCGTGCTTTTTGCTTACAATGTCTTCTTTCCCAATCAATTTCTCCATCTTTTAACACCCAGCTTAGATTGCACTTCTTTTTTACACCCTCATGCATTAATAATTCTACACTTCTATTAATAAAGACATATTCTCCTTGGACCTCACATGGAATATATTTTGTCTGTGCCTCTTTTATGTGCTTTTCATATCTTTTTGTTGGTTTTATAGACATTGAATATTCATCACATTCCCTTACTATACACTAAATACTATACAGAAGAGAGTATGTTTTGGCCATGAGAACGGTGGGTGGGGGTAGACCTAGAGAAAGAGACAGACAGTGAGATAGAGACAGAGACAGAGAGATAGTGTCCTCAATCTCACTCAAGGCAAGCTGGAAATCAGGAATATATTGCAAAGAGGGGAGGGAAATGGCCTTCTTCTACATGTCTGCCTTTCAAGTCCTTTCTCTTTCTCTCCATTATTATTCCCAAAGGGGGTATGGAACCACATGTCTGGTTCAAAGTCCAAAAGAGAAAAAGGTCTCTATTCTCCCAAGCTCTCACAGCAATGCTTTCTGTTCACACAGGGAAACACAATTGTGTCAGTATCCTTTCCACCAGGGAGAAGAGTCTTAAGAAAATGCAATGGGATTCAACCCCAAATTACAATGCTAACTCATATCTTCTTTAAAACCTAGCAAAGCACCTAGAACTCATTAAACATTTAATGGAAAATTTTTAATTGAATTCAAATGATTTCCCTATGAGCCAATTGCTCTGTTTTCTCTGTCTTTTTTATTTGATAATGTGGAGATTGTTATACTCACCAATCTGTATTGTGATAATCTGACAAAATGAGAGAAAGGTTTTGTATTTCAGGACTTAATTGAGAAGTCAGCTATTTATCAACAATGTTTTAGGATGTTCAAAAAGTTCCAGAGATCATAACTGATTCTAAAGGTGAATCATTTTGGCCATTCGATTCCTAATTTCCTTGGTCTTTACTCCATAGACAATGGGGTTGAGAAGAGGTGGGACTAACAGATAAAGGTTAGAGAGAAGGATGTGGACATAGGGGGGATGTGGAACCCAAACCTATGAGTGAAAAAAGAGAAGAAAGCAAGGAGATAGAATTCAAGAAAAACAAAGATGTGAGCAATGGAAGTGTTGAAGGCTTTGAGCCGAGCCTCTTTCTGGGGCAGGCGGAACACGGCAATGAAGATCAGAATGTAGGACAGAGTAATGAAGATGATGTCAAAGCCTAGGATGGTAAAGGCCACAAACAAACCACAGGCCTTGTTGACCCGGATGTCATCAGCAGCTAGCTTCACAATGGCCATGTGCTCACAATAGGTGTGGGAGATGACTGTGGTTCGGTAGTGTTTCAGGCGGCATTTGATAAGCACAAGGCATGGGGCCACCAGGAGAGCAGCCCTTAATGTCACCACAACCCCAATCTGGGTGAGGAGTTGTGGGGTGAAAATAGTAGTGTGCCTCAGGGGCTCACAGATGGCCACATATCTGTCCAGGGCCATGGCCAATAAGATGCCTGACTCTATGCACTGGAATGTGTGAATGAGCCACATCTGCAGCAGACAGGCCTCAAAGTGGATCTCCTTCAGATTAAACCAGAAGATGCCCAGCATCTTGGGCAGGATGCAAGTGCTGAGGGCAATGTCAGTGATCCCCAGCATGGCCAGGAGGAGGTACATGGGCTTGTGGAGGCTGCTCTCAGATCGGATGATGAACAGGAGCAGGTAATTTCCAACCATGGCAATAACATACATGGCACAGAATGGAATTCCAATCCAGCACTGCACAGCTTCCAGGCCAGGTATCCCAATCAGTGAAAGTAGGGATGGCATGAAGATTGTGCCATTAGCCATTAGGAGGCTAAAGTATTTCAAAAAGGCTTCTGGGGTTGGGGGGTGCTATTGCCTGTGTTAATCTTTCCTCTTCTGATTTGTTGACTTGGAAACCAGAATTGTGTATATTCATATAATTACAAATACATCACATCATTAAATCAGTCACAGAGTTATATCTAGCTAGAGGACATTTAGCACTATCTATATGTAAACAGTATTCCTCTACAGTATTCCCAACAAGTGATTATCCATCCTCTGTTTAAAGACCTCCAGTGAAGACACGCCCTCTATCTCCCAAAGTAGCCCATTCTACTTCTTCAGATGTTAGGATCTGAATCTGAATCTTTGAAATCTCCATCCATGTTCCTGATTCTGCTGCTTTTGTCTATAGGCATGAGGTATTCATTTGTGCAGAACCTATAAAAAAGAGACAACAGACTAAATTAACCATTTCTTCTTTTTTCCATTCTCTAATCAGTTAAGAGACTACAGTTATGCTTGCCATATCATGACTTTTCCTATCATGATTTTGATATATCGTGGATCAGTATAAGAAATTAAATGGGAATTTTGAGGGGAGTTTTGTGGAAGCTGCAGACAACATGTAAAGGCCAGCAGACAATACAGAAATATTTTTATTTAACATTGATCTACATATAGCCTATAACCAAATACTTAACCCAAATTTTACAATAAGGTATTGTAAACACCTCATAAAAGAAAAAAAAATCAGACTTCTCTGGTACAGAAGGAGGACCAAAAATTTTATAAGGATTTTCAGATCACAGGGGTCCTGCGCCCCAACCCCTTTGAGTCACAAGAGTAGACTTTGGTACTTGGGGAACAAAGTCAACTGTGGCCTAACCAACCAGCCCCTGAGCTGGCTGCCTCTCTGACCAAGAGATGGCAAGAGTAGGATCAATAGTGGCATATAGAGAATATCTGGATCCTGATTTCCTGTGCTCTGAGCTCCTGGAACCCACTCAGGAGAAGCAGTGACAGAGGCATATAGAAATAGCATGTGCTCTCAACCATTTAGCTACAGAGAAGTAGAAATACACCACCAAATAGCTGGAGTTACTGAACCCCAGCCTTCTAGAGAGAGGAGAGGGATTTCTGTACAGGACCAGCCTCTAAATTATCTCACTGGCAATCCTATGTTTGAGAGGTGCAAATTCTGGTTATCTGCAGAGGGAAGAGAAGGTATTGGACAGTACAGACTCTTGAAGGGATGACTATTGAGTGTGTAACTAATGGTGTGTTGGAGCCAGTTCTAACTGAATTGTGAAATCAATTGTTAAATTTTCAGCATGCGAGTTAATTGCCAAGAATATTTCCCTTCAGGAAGGCTCTAATTGTTAGAGTGGTCCCATAATGCTGGAGGCCTATATAGGTTCCTGGAGTAAGCAGAGTCTTCACCATAAGTTAGAGAAGCTGCCTACTTAGCAAACTTAAGTATGTTTGCTGACCATTCTGTACAAAAGGGTGGAGTCATGAGTCTGCAGTATTTTATGTTCCTTAAGGGAGGTAAAGTGGGAATATGAGACTTAGTTTAGAGGTAGGAGCATTGTATTTATTGTTTATAGGCTACTATGAGTCCCCCATGTGTTTTCTGCATTAAGTGGGGGAGGGGTGCTGTGCTGTACTAGATATACACTATTACCATGGATGCATGTTGAGAGCCAGAGACCTATGTATCCACAGCTGAGGAGTTCCAGCTAAATGTGAATTGTATGCTGAGAATTCCCAGAGGCAATTCTCTATGTTGGAGGAAATGAGTCAAAGACATGATTTGGGGAAGGGTAGGTTACCTGGAATCCTACACTCTGGATTATGCAGATGAGGTTCAGTCTAGGAGAAAGTCACCCAAATCACATATATTTGGCTTATATTTTTTTTCTTCCCCCAAGTGGATATGTAAGAAACTCATCAACCAGGCTCTGCTCTTGGCTTATTGCTAATCTAACATTTTTTATCAATAACTGGATAAATGCATAGATGACAGGTTTCGCTAAAAAGATATATCAGAAGCAGAATTTTTTTAAACAAAGATCTTAACGGGCTATAATGTTGTACCAAGCCTACTAAGATGAAATTTTAATGGAAAAATGAAAAAAAAAATGTTTACTTAAAAGTCAAGTTTAGAAGTATAGGATGGCAGTGATGTGGCTAGATAGTAGACCCTTTGAAAAATAATTGGAGGTTGTAGTGGATTGTAATCTATTAGTGTCCCAATTTCATGGATGAGGAAACTGAGGCTGAAAGAGGAAGATTAAATGACCTCCCCAGGATCATACAGCTAGGAAATGTCTAAGGTAGGATTCCAACTTAGACCTCCCTGATTTTAAGTCCAACACTATGAACACTGTGCCACCTAGATGTCTTAGTCAAGACACTAAGAGGATAAAGCAATGAACCAGCAGCCAACAGCGTATCCATTTCTACAGCAGTCACTTGCATCTGAGGGTTATTCTTGGCAGTAGCCAGAAATGATGACATGGGGGTGGAGTGGAGTTGAAATGGAAAGTACAGAATATTTCCTGTACCAAACCCTTTGACTTAAGGTTGGTATAACATACAGATTTAACATAGCCTTTGTCCATTGAGGTCTGAGATAGTATAGGCAAAGAGTTTATCACTCAAAATTGCTGACTTATGGGCTCATCACTTGAAAAAGGCCCTGGGAGAAAGAAATGAAGAGCAAGGCTATGTGTGGCTTTAAAAACCTGTGTTAAAGAAGAGGTCTCTTTGAATGGAAAAAAGGATGCCTTTTTCTCTGAGGATATTCAGAGAAGAGTGGAAATCTACTGTCTCTGCTGTGAGACCACAATGCATGTAGCTGTTGTTTCCTTTACTCATTATGAGCACAAATGGCATTGTGGCACAATGGATATGGCATTGAACTTGGAATCAGGACCAGAACTGGGATCATATCCCGCTTCATACATTAGCCTACTCTGCAACTGTTGAGCAAGTAGTCATTTGACCTTTCTCAGCTTCACTTTGCTTATCTGTAAAGTAAATGGGCTGTGTTCAATGGTCTTTTAAGTTCCTTTCCAGACCTAAAATGTTATTATACAAGGAAAAAACTTGAAGTCCTAAATTTCCTGTTAGGTCCTTATAAATTTGCCTTGCTATTTATTTCTGAACAAGCTCCTCCGTCATGCATCACTACCATATCCTCTTCTCATACTCCATCCAAGCAAGATACCTGATTAAGCAACATACCAGTTTCAAGTGGTTTCCTTACGAGCCTCAAGTGGTGACCTCACCAAGCAAAACATGGCCACTGATTATGAAAACACTAGAGCAAAAGGGATGAAAGCAACAGGATAATTTATTCTCCTCTTTACAAGTCCCAAGGGGTCAAGTTTGGCATGAGGGAGCATAGAATCCTAGGAGTCTCTCACAAGGGAGGATCAATTTAAATTTAGGTCTGTCTCTCAACCTCTATCTCCATCTGTCTTACTTTCACTATGTGTTTCTTCATCTCTATTTGTCTCTCTGTGTGTATGTCTCTCCATCCTTGTTACATTATTTGTTCGCGTACATCCCCATAAATAAGGGGTGTCTTTTGGAAGGCATCAATTTTTCATTGTCATAGCATCAGGAATTTGGGGGGTAATCTGCATTTCAGGTTGAAGGCTGATATTTTGTGGATGATAGGAATACTGTTTTGCATTTACTTAGTTTTCCCTTGAGAGGAAAAAAGAATTAGTGGCTGGCTAAGTATTATGAAGTAATATTAGTAGTATATTCCATACCCACCTTTCCATTCCCCATGCTATATCAGAAGGCCTCATGATTATCTAAACATAGTGTTGGGACAGGATCAGTTTATGTGCTTAACAAAGAGGCCCCAGGTGAGCAAATATGAAAAGTGAGTTGAGCATATTCTGAAAGGGAAGTCATCACTGTCATCAAGGATCACAAAGAAAGCAACATGTATTGGCAGACATTCTCTGACCTAAGGAGGACCATATGCTAGGATGGACTAATAGATCTTATATATTCCTTTCATTAGTTGTATTTAATGTGTATAATTAATAATGTGTATAATTTAATTTAATTATAATTTATATAATTATAATTTAACATAATTATATTAAATTTAATGTGTATAGCACTTTAATGTGTATAAAACATTCTCCACCTAACAACCCTATCAAGAAGGTAGGGTCCAAGCATTATTATTCTCATTTTACAAATGAGGGAATTGAGGCATAGGGAGAGTAAATAATTTGCCCAGGTTTACAGAGATGGTAAACTACAGTGCCAGAGTATGAGTTTGTGTCTTTGAAGAAAAGTTTTTGTTGTTGTTGTTGTTTTGTTTGTTTGTTTTGTTTTGTTTTGTTTTTTGTACATTATACTGTATTTCCCTAGGACAAGGCTAAAAAAGTTTTGGTACCACTCAGTGTGGGTCTGGGTAATATTTTTACATGTGATCTCAATTATTTACTTTGCTAGACTAATTATGAATTCGTGTATTCCTTTTTTGCCTTGTAAATAAATCACCCAAAATGTACTACAGGAACCCTAGAGCATGTCAATGAAGGGCTAAGAGAGAAAGAGGTAAATGAGAACAAGGAAAAGCATTTGTCTGTGGCAGCAGTGCTTGAAAAGACATTGTAATTAGGTTGCAGATGCAATGTATCTTTGAACCCAGCAAACCAAGCCAGCTCAGAGACTAAAACACAAAAACATACAGACAGAAAGATAGAGTATTTATCAAATGTTTCCTATGTGCCCAGGATTGGGCTATGGATTGGGGGATAAAATACAAGCAAACAAGGTGGTAGCTGCCATCAAGAAGCTTATATTCCAATGAGAAAAGACAGTATATAAAAGGAAAGATGGAAAGGAGTGGTAGTAGGTTCCCTGATGTGTGATAGAGTTGTCCAAGAAGTCCTGTGAAGAGTCATGCAGTCTTGACCCCAGCAAGACAAGGAAAAAATTGACCCATCTGAGCCAAAGAACCCAAGGACCAAGTCTAAATACTCACAGGAAGGAAGTGGAGGTAATAGTCCAGTGGCTTTGAGAATCACATTCCAGAAAGTGGCAGAGTACTAGGACTCAGTAAGATAAGGCAAAAGCTTACCTATCAGATCTAAGGGACCTAGAGTAAACATATCATTGAATAGAACAAGCAGGGGAATGAGTACCATATCAGTGAACATATATTAAGTACCTACTATGTGCAGAATA